TTTTTCTCCACAAGAAGTGCTTATAAGCCGAAGTTTTTCGCCTTTTCTTTAGCCAAAAGTAAAGAGTCACAGTGCGAGGAGGTATCATTGGTTCACTGACTACGATACCACTTGCAATCGCAGTTCGTATACATGAGGTAAGCGAACTAGCCCATTTTGTTTTTCGCGTGCGCAGTTGAACATCTTAGTACTCGAAAACTTTGCTGCGAATGTTTTGTATTCGCACTAGCCTGTCCTTAATGTCCGGTTAGTTTTTTTACACGAGTAGGCTGTAATGCTAGCATTTTATTGATAGATAAACATATGCTCTTCGACGCACTTCTGGGTTCTCTTTTGTGAAAGCTTCTTCTTTCGTCCAACCACCCAGTTTTATATTTTTTTTTCGTATGCGTATTCAGCTTCAACTCCACGTTGATGATGCCGTTGTTTAGATCTGAAAGAAGACTTTTCCCGTATTCGTCCGCCTTTATTGCCGAAAATAGTGTTGCCGCCTCCAAGCACCAAAGGGCTAAGATATTCAGCGCTAATGTTTACTTCCATTTCTTCCCAAGCTTGACGTTTAAATACGTCTGCTAGGCAAGCAGTGAATAATACCAATAACAATTATTGTCAGTTGGGGGTTTTATCATATTCGAATTTATCATCTGTAGTATCTTCAATAATGCTCAAAAGAGGCTGATTGGTTAGTATACCTCTTTAAGTCTAACGTCTCCCCGTTCTTGCGTTAATAATGTTTGCGTTCTGCCGTTCTGCAACATTTGCAGCTTCAACGCACAATGCCTAAAAGGTCGTAAGCTTTTTAAATGTAAAATATTTCGAATCATTGAGAAAAATTTTTATGGCACTTTATCGGGCCGCTTTTCTGGGGTACTTGCCTTGGAGGATCTTTCCGAGCTTAAGGGGCTTGGAAAGTTGTTGTCATGTTCTTCTTTCGTTCATTCTTCGGTTGATATTCGAGCTGTAAAGTTCTCAGAACTCTGAACCGTATTGCCGATGTAATTGAAATAGTTGTTAACATTGCCCTGCCTATATTTCAGTGCATGCAATATGATACATCCCATACTGCTGCACCCTTTTTACTACTACCTCCACGTCTTTGGCATTATAGTTCTGTATGCCCGTAATTTTAATTAGTGACAGCTCAGGAAAATTCTATTTTCATTAAGTGAGGCGGCAAATTTTTTCGAAGATGTTTCTATTAAATCAACCAAATAAATCAATTGAAGAATCACGTCAAGGAAGGCATAGGCGACATCAGCTGTTCATTTTATATGGGTGTGTATTATCAGCGCGTAAATTGCAAAGAATTTGTGTACACGAAAAAACTACTTTTTCGTAGGTGGGATCCGAACCCACATACTTCAAATTGCGTGTTCGAGGCGCCATTCGTAGAGCATCGGCCGAGTAATTTGAAGGCGGTCTGTATTGATCCTGGCGAGGGAAAATGTGTTTTCTTTTTAGTTGGCAACGATTGTTTGAAATTCGCGCTACAATCACTACACCACACCTAAAACAAAAGTTAGACTCATCTATGCTTTCCTTGACCCACTTGTCTAATGCGTATGCGCATCAACTGAGACAGTTTCGCACGTCGTCGTTGTTTATGAAGTTTTTGGTAGTTTGACAGACCTTGCTTAAATCTTTTCTTGGTGGTATGCCTCCAATTACAAGTGCTGCTTCAAAAAAATCTTCATTAACTTTTCCTAATATACTCTTCATCATCTTTAATTGTACACTAGCGATTTACCTTAAGAGTTTGTCCACAATTGAAAGAAACGCTTTCATGCTATTTATTGTGTGCCCACATCGTGTGCAGGTTTCCATGCGATTTGGCGGCACATTCAGGATGAACCCTGCAAACTGGGGTGCTCCGACCTTCCTGCCATCTCACAAGGAGTCGGCTAAACCAGTGATCCAGTATCGAAGCAAACGCTGACCCATGGCTGCGCTAGAATTCTCATTCAAGAGTACCAACCAATAAAGACTCTAGCACACGGCACTACCGATGCATCAACTGCTATCGTCATAGCCAAAAAGCGGGGCCAGATGAAAAGTGTCCGGTGGTGCACTGAACTCTTCGTAACGGAGTACTGGCGACAGACCCCGACAGCTCATCAACACAACACTGTTGTGACCCTGCCAAAGAGGCTGAAGCAAAGAGAGTTCTCGCAAATAGCTTTAAATATGAAGTGTACAACGAAATGCGGAACAGCAGAAAACGGCCACAAGAAGCAAGTCGAGAGACCCTCTCCTAAAACGCCCATTAAGAACTTCCTCTCGCCTGTCCCATACGCACCCTCTGATGACCATAAAATGCCGGACGACGGCGATGAGCAGCTCATTTTTCCCCCATGCCGTAACACTCTGGAATGCACTGCCAGATAACATTGTTTCTTGCAGGGACCACTCAACATTTCGCGAAAAACTAACTCTTTTCCAAAAATCCAAATACGATGTCCTAACAGCACATTAACTCTTGCGTTTATAGTTGTTTTATTGTACTCCCAGAGTTTATGTATCGCCTATTATATTTTTATGATTTGTTATGCGTGTTATTTCCGCTTGTGTTCTTTATTTGCTCATTCATTGTAATCAGTGTGTACCCTTATATTATTACATTGCTTAGGAACTTACAACCTGGATGTACGACCCCCCCCCCCCCCTTATGTAATGCCTTCGGGCCCTTGAGGTTGAATGAATGAAATGAAATGTACGATGAAGCAATATGGCATGTTCCCGATCACTTCCAGGACCACGACATTCAAACCGAAATACAAGCAAACATGACAAGCTCCTACGAATTCACGTCGAAGAGGCAGGCGTTGGTGACGCAACCACCTCTACGACAAGCTAAATGGCGATTCACTGGACTACTGCCTGAACTTCGCGTGACAAAAGATGGGAAAAAAAAGTTCCTTCTGCATGTAGTAAAGAGTGAAGGCAAGCGCCTACTGCTTTTTTTATGCCGACAAGGACTTGGAAGCGCTGGCGACAACCGACTACATCTTGGGTGACGGAAACTTCAAGTACAACCCCCGAGAATTCCATAGCCAAGGACAGTTCTATACTCTCCACGGAGTTATAAAGGGTGAAACCCAACCACTCATAAACGTCTTCATGCAGTCATGCGACGGGCACTCGTACAAAGTTGTCTTCGGGGTCATCAAAGATTCCATGGAAGCTAAATCCGGGAACACTGCAAGACTGTCATCGGCAGTGACGTGGCTGTTAGACTGAGTCAGCAGCCATTCAGGCTGTTATAAAGATTTTTCAGACTCCGGCAGGGCTCCCAAAGGTAGGTGAAATCTCAGCAGGTTCTATTTGAAACTGTCGCCTTGATGTCGTTCCTTAATACTTGCAGCATTTCGTTCAGAGAAGGTGTCAGTGCTTGTAAATGCAGCAACAAACATCTCTGTGATTGAAATTCTAACAGAGACAATTGTGCATGTTCCTATGTTTAAATTCGTTCTTTGTTCTAAGACAAAATCTTCGCACTAGGCAATTCAATAAACGTAATCACTGGTATTGTAGCACGGAGTACATTTGTAGGAGAGGAAAACTGGTCATTCATACTGATCTCTATGTTACTATAGGTTCGTGGCTGCGCATTTAATTTTGCTAAAGCTCTCAACAGCAAGCGAGATCAGCTCGGACTGAAGGCCCTGTGCAAGAACAACCCAGAAGTACAACAATGGTTCGTTTGAATCCGACATCTGCCTTTAGTCTCCGAAGGATTTCGCTTAGAGTTCTCGAAGGACTTGCTTGCTGCAAAGCCACAGCAACCGGTACAAAATGCCGCTAGAATAGACCGATTTTCTCAATACTTTTCATCTTTTTGGCTTTCCCAAACCCCTATAACAGACATTTGGGGGCAGTTTGGGAATTCAGGCGCGAGGACGACGAACTTGGTTGAAGGGTGGCACAACGGCTTGCACAGTCGGCCTGTCGACTTGCCACCCCGATTTGGCTGAGTTCATTCAGTTTCTTCAGACGGCCCAATATGCCGCACAAAACCGCTATCCAAATATGATCCGTACGGGTATTGGCTGTTGATACCCATGTATACGAACATTCCAGCACAATGTCTGCTGTACTGACGCCTTGTAGTGCGTGTAGTAACACCAGCAATACAGGGTGTCGTTTACGAGGCGTCATTCACTGACTGCAGCTGTAGTTACACCGGCGGAACTGGCACCCAGGAAGTCGAACGCCAAAGGGGCGTGGCAACATCGAGACAGCGTGCAACGCCTGGTCCGAGGGCACCGATAATCGCGCTCCTTCCATCGATTGGGACAACGCCACTGTTATAGCGAAGGAAAAGAACTCGACCACCAGACTGCTTTTGGAATCTATTTGAAATGCGAAGCATTTCTTAGCGAACTCCGGCGAGTTTGAGGCTATCTATCTATCTATCTATATACCTATCTATCTACATACCTATCAATCAATCTACCTATCTATCAATCAGTCTATCTGTCTATCTACCTATCTATCAATCAGTCTATCTGTCTATCTACCTATCTATCAATCAGTCTATCTATCTATCTATCTATCTATCTATCTATCTATCTATACGCATTTAAGCAAGTATAATGGGAAATATTTACGGAATGGTTCCGATACGTCAAGACAGTACTAGCACAGAACGAATACGCACGCGACTTTCTAGGTCGTGGAAACCACGTCAGCGATAAAAAGAGACAAAGGAAAGTATATGCGTCACGAAGGACATGGGCACAAGGTTAAACTCGATACGAACTCTCATGCATCGTTTAGAGCCCATGTCAATAGTACAAAGACTTAGCATACAGCACCACTCTGTTATGGCTACAGTGTTGTCTTGTGGTGCCGCGGGCCCGTACACTACACGGACAGTCATTGGACACAAAGGATGATATGCGTGGAAAGGCTCAGTGTCCGCTGCTATAGATATTACACACTTGCAGCACGCCGTGGTCAATAGCACAAGGACTGGGGACGACGGGTCAGTCTCAGGGAGGGGGGGAATCTTAATCTACACCATCGGCTGCACTTCATGGTACAGCGGCTTGGCGAGTCCTATGAAGGTAGCCGTCGAGCAGGACTGAAAGCAGGGACCGTCAACTTGTAAGACGCCTTGGCGGTCACGGGGGTCAGGTAGCCGCATCCACGTGACGCGTCTGACGTCGGTGTCGCCGAGGGTGCCTCGCCAGTGGACGTGTACGCACAGAAGGTGAGGCAGGCCAGCGGACAGCCCACGAACGCACTGCAATACTACGTCCAGCGGAAGGTACACCGCCGAGATGAGGTACAAGTACTGGAGGCTGACTATGCTCCGAAGGCCGTGCTGCAATCGAACGATACGTAAAGTCCAAATGGGATGAGTGCTTCGAGGAATACAATAACACTGGCTGCACTGCAGAAATAAGTAAAGTTCGAGTCGCCGCGATTTCAACTCCAGTAAAGTGAACAGATTGTGGTTCGTCCAGTGCAGTATAACAGCAATACAGCAATCTTAAAGCGGGTCAGGTGTTCGTGCGTTAAATCAAGGGACAATTTCTAGAATACATGCAAGAGGCGAGAAATCCTCAGCGAACCAAGGTCGGGAATTTCGTTAGGGTGTACCACGTGATAACGCAACTATTCGACGAAGCTGTACTCGCTATCTCGAGCTAAGAAGCAACTAAGCGAAAACAAATTGGCAGATCCCACGTACAGTGCGAATCGATGACGAGCGAAGCACGGATGAGAAAGGCTGATGCGCCACTTTAACATCTCAGCACAACGTTACGAGGCAGACGTAAATTGTGCCGTACATGATTTCCATCTAGCGATTATCATGTTTGGACGTGTCATTTACCTTCGTCGTCAATTAGCGTCACGTAATATCAAATTTGGCCTATGTGAAGCCAGCGAAACGGCCGCGAGCTCATCATGAGCATGTCATGTAGTCATGTTTCTACATAACACGCATATCACGATTATGTTTGCACCAGTCATATACCTTCGTCATCGATTCACGTGCCGTAATACCGAATTCGGTATATGTGAAGCCAGCAAAACGATCGCGACCGCACTATGAGCGTGGCGTGTAGTCATCAAATGCATGTCATGATTTTACCGTTAGGGTCTGTCACTTATGCTCACCATGCAGTCGTGTCATTACACACCAGTTTTACAATATGCCTTGTGACCTAAACAACCGCAAGAGCAGCAAGACCACGAAATGTAAATAATGACATTCATGACATACATCTCGTGATTTTCGTGTTATGACTAGTCACCCATGCTAGTCATACAGTCATGCTATGCCACGCCAATTTCGGCATCGATACCATTATCGAAACTTCCAGGAGAGCGAAAGTCGTAGGCGGCGAGATAGAAAGAGATATGTAGACAGATACACTCAATGTCGCCGAAGTTCGCTAAGGAATGCTTCGCATTTGAAACAGCGAAAAACGTGAAGTCCTACACTTGGTAAAACGTGAGACCACCTAAAATAAAGAACCCGCTTAGAAAGCGGTCCCTATAGCAGAGTAGTAATTGCTGTTTTAGGCCCGAAAACTGCGACACAAATATGATAGGTACTGCACAGGCGATGACCGGCAATTTCGACCACCCATGAACATGTCACGTGGTGTGTACCTCTGACATGCGCCTGTACCTAGCGCATGACCTCAAGCATTGTTTCTATAAAAATACGACCAGCATGACCCAGACTCAATTTTCTGACCTTCAGGTCAGCGTTTGAGCATCATAACTACTTGACCACCTCCGCGGGCCCTAAAGTAATTACAATACGAGGCAAGCCAAACTCACCAGCAAAGACGGGTCGTCGAACCTCAGGTGGTCGTGTCTAAGAACGAGGGACGTAGGCATGCTTTTCCTGGCCAGTGCTCGGGTAAGTATCACGTAGTCTGGCATCCGGGGAGTATTGCAGATCCTCACAGTATCCGTCGGGCCGCAGCTGTCGACGAACCACAATAGCCACACAGGATCGGCAATGTCAGCCAAGGTCAGCCTGCGGAGCCTTCTGTAAAACAAGGGGCCCCATTCGTCACCTCGCACTCCGTCGATGTAGCGGCGCCAATGAGTGTCGCAACAGGCACAGGGGACGGCAGCGTCACCGCACGTTCCCAGAACACGCACGTCGAGATCATCCAAAAAGGGACATCTGTGCGAAAGATAGTCCAGGGTTGAAGCGCTCCGAAGCCCGCAGAGCGACGCAGAGAGCGATTTAAGGTTCACCAGGAACACCTCCCGAAGGATCCAACCGAAGTCGAGGTCGGGGCCGAAATGGAACAAACTTAAGTTCAACTCGACGATATTTGACAGCGCCGTGGAGAAGAACTGAAAAAGGACGTTGCGGTACGTGATGCTGGCCATCGGATGCTGGATGCAAGCAGGATCTGGCGCCAGAAGCAGCAGACAGAGTTGGCGAACGTGTGCCCAATCATGCCCCTGACTAGCCATGCGAATCCATTTCTCGGTGATGTCCCCTTCGTGATGAACGGCGACCAGAATCATCTGCACGGGCAGAATTCGGGGCGGCCGACCCTGGACTACGTCGTCCGCCAGGTCGGCCAGCCGGACGACACTAAACGAGCCGGTCGACTTCGAGTGGGTGACGTTGGAGCAGATGGCGGCACAACTGGTCAAGTCTAACGGTGCCCGAGGATCTAGTTGAACAGGCGCTGACAGCTCAGCGGTGAACGTGATTATTTCCACGGAGTCATCCGAGACGATGGCGTCGTGGAGCAGCCGGAAAGCATACCAGAAAATGCCACCCGAAAAATGAACTTGTAGATTGTGCAAATAAGGGCAGGAACGCAGAAGGACCGGCAAAAATATAGCGTGAACGTAGCCCACTTCGACGTACATGCGGCGAAGGCTGGGTGCCTTTGCGTCGCTGCCGTACTGCACCACGGCGTGGGCCATGCGTTGAAGCTCCGACTGCGCGTCCGTCTCCAAAAGGAGGGAAAACTCGACTACGACGAGGTGCCGAAGCCGCCACAGCAACGTGATGATGTCGGTCGGCTGGAAACCGCAGCCCAGGCAGCGCAGGGTTGTGAGATAGCTGCACTGAACGATGAGCGCTGGCCACTCTCCGCGTACGAGCAAAACGCAATCCGTAAGGTCCAATTCGCGGACTGATGGGGCGTTGTCGCGGTGCAGGTACGCGGCCAGGCTCTCCCCGTCTTGGTTTGCACGAAGACGCAAGTACATTTTGGTGGCGGCCCTGCGAACGGTTCCACCATCAATCCGGGAAAGGCTTGATCGAGAAGATGGAAAACGAGCGTATACGAATTAAACGAGTTGTGACAAGCGATGCTCGTTGCAGACGCGATGTATATGTGCGCACGTGAGCGATATAACATGACGTCACGTACACGTCACGGCACTCGTATCGCATGATGACAAAAGCAAAAAGCGATTTCGCTACAACTTTCGTGCGTGCACTGTACACCTTTTCACGCTTAAAAAGTGGACAGCCTTTCACACGATCCGTATTGATAGACGCTACAGAAAATAAGTAATGGAGTAACGTTACAACAACTACGTCCTTCAAAACGTTATTCATTATTGTTGGGTGACTTTCAATTCCGCTATGTCAATTTGGCACATTCCGAGTCAGTGCATCATTAGCGAACACTGAAGCGGCTATTATATCGATCCCCGGGACGACGTCACCTGAAAGAGTTGACAATGAGATTATAAGGACGTCCTGATGACCTCATAGAGATGACATGCTGATGTTTAGAATGTGACGTCATTTGCGCGACTCGTGTTGCCACCTGTAGTTACCTCCCGAGCGCGATACCAAATGGGGAGGCGTTGCCACCGCTAGAGAAAGAAAAATGTCACCATCTTCCGCTAAGGGGAACCATGTGCAGATGCGAACAGCAAGCGCCAACGCTTACACTGGCGGCGACATTGACGCTAGCGCTCATCACGGCGTTCTGCCGGGGAGAAACCTGGGCCAGCGCAAAGCACGCATGTGATGAACCTGCGTTTTCTACTGGATATGCCACTCGCTGCTAATCTACAATGAGAGACAGAAGACTCCGATTAGGCGCATAAACCCGCAGTCCACTTTAGTTATTGCACATGCTGAGACTTTTCATTGTTCAACAACGCACAGGAGAAATCTACCAGGGGCACTACCTTGAAGGTCACGATCCAGTGGCTATACACCTTTTCACAGGAAGGAAAAAAACACCGCCATGATGGGCTGAGCGCGGGAGTACAAAGGATAAGGGCGCAGCGTTGTCAGTGCATTTTCGAGGGGACGCGCCAATTTGCACAGCCCAAGGAGGGCTATGGCGGCGCCCAGGGAGGCGTTTATGAAAAGGTGAAAATGAGGAGTGACTAGCTTACGGCTGTGCAGCGCGAGCAGTCGCTTTTTTTTTTTCAATCAAGAAACTCGTTAGTAGACCCTGCCTGCGTCGCGTTGCCAGAAAGCGGGGAGTGTAGAAGAGGAGAGAGAGACAGAAAACACGCATGCGCAATGGGGTTGTAAGCGGCGCGGGGAAGAATGTCTAGAAGAGAGAGAGAGGGAGCGAACGTAGGTCAGCAGATCCTCTCCGCGTTGGCGTTGCGCGGCGAGAGAGGCGGGAGCGTAAAAGGGGAGAGAGAGAGCAGATACGCAGTAAGGGTGGTCACGCCGCACGCCGGACTAAGCTTGGCCATACGCTGCTTCGCATCTGAAACTTGGGCGATGCGTCAGCTTCGCCTGCACGGGGGTAAAACGCGATCGCGGAATCGGGCCCGATGCGCATCGTCTTCTCAATTGCTATCCAAACTGTGGTTCTCTGCGCATGCCTTAGATGTGCCGCAAGGTATAACGAACGACTGTGCGCGATATATTGGCCACTTCAATTATCCTAGAGTGCCTTATTGGAAGTGCAATCGTTCAGTGGACACTACGCCGCAATTCTTCCTTTTGAATATCACCGAAGGGTCCACTACGCTTCCATGGAGACACGCGCGAACTTCTGCAGCTGTTTAGTTTGTCGATACTGACGATGATCAAATATGTCTGGGCGCTTTGTAATGACCGGGCCTTTAAAACACCCTTGGCTGCATTTCCGATGGAGGCGGAAATGTTGTAGGCCCGTGTGCTCAGATTTGGGTGTACGTTAAAGAACCCCAGGTGGTCGAAATTTCCGGAGCCCTCCAGTACGGCGTCTCTCATAATCATATAGTGGTTTTGGGACGTTAAACCCCACATATCAATCAAATCAAAACACCCTTCCGTTGCACAATTCGCATGTATTGACGCCAGGCGTGGTTCTACGCATCCACTACATAACAATAGATGTGTTAAGGACACTCCTTCCGCTAGATAAAATTCATGTACTAAGTTTTCTTTTCTTTTCACCCAATCCAGTCTCAGGCAACATGTGGTTTTGTGGTGTACACCTGCTTTCCACGCAGGCGTCCTAGGTTCGATTATCACTCGAAAAACACACACATCTTGTGCTATCCAGATAACCAGTGAAGCAGACCTGGATAAGATGCGCGAAGGTGGTCTCACTTCGTAAAGTAGTGACTAGTACCTCGTCACAGATTTTTAGTTTTCTGCTTTACTTTTTTTCTTTAACATGGCGTCACCAAAAGATATCGCACATCAGAATGATTGTGCTCACCTGGCATTTTTACACTGCAATACACGATCGGCTCGAAGTAAGTACGATGAGCTCACCACCTTCCTAGATGAATTTTCCTTCAGGTTTGACATTATTATGGTTACGGAAACCTGGTACACATGCCACGAGAAAGTGTGTTTAGATTACCAGGCTATAATAGCTTTTACTTGAATAGATCTTCCCGCTGAGGGGGAGGAGTACTGCAGTTAATCTCGGAAAAGCTTTCTTGTAGCTTACTCACTGAATTTACAACAATCACGCCGGATTATGAAGCTTTAGCACTAATCCAAGATAACCATGTTTATGTTGTTCTTTATCGCCCACCTGATGGGTGTGTTGAAAAGTTCTATGTCTCCCTTGAAAGGCTACTAACTTTTGTAGGCACAAATAAGCTGTGCGTCGTAATAGGTGGTGACTGTAACATCAACCTTTTACAAAGTAATGCAACGTCACGTTCATTCAAGCTGTTGCTTGATTCTTATGCATGCACAGTCACATTAAACGAACCAACTCGTGTCAGTATTGACTCTGAAAGTCTTCTAGACTTCTAGACATATTTATCACGAATAATAGAAACGACTGCGTGTCAGCAGGTTCCGTTATATCAGATGTGAGTGATCACTTCCCTGTATATATGATATATAAAAAGAATAAGCTTTCTAGACATCTAAAACCAAGTCCTTTAGAACCCTATAAAATACAGCAAATCAATTCAAAAACTTTGGAGCAATTTATACACCATATTGAAAGGTTAAACTTCAGTGCCTTGTATAACTGCGAAAATGCTGATGAGGCTTACGATACTTTGATGCATCTTTTAAAAAATGCATATCACTATTGCTTTAAACTAAAAACTGTGAGAGCCTCAAAGAAAATTCGGAAGCCGTGGTTAACAAGCGAATGCCATGAAATGATTCGTAAAAAGAATGCTTTATATCATAGATTTATCAAAAGTAGAGACAGCAGTCATCTAGCCGAACTCAAGAAATTTAAAAACATGTTAAACAAAACTTTACGTAAAAAAAAGAATGCTTATTTTCTAAACCTATTTGAGAGGCCAAGTTCTCGTAGTGATGTTTTATAGCAGCAAATAAATCGTCTGATTCACTCTGGCACTCGCCAAACTAAGAAACTGGAGCTCATGGTGCATAATGAAATACATAGCGGTGAAAAACTGGCAAATAATTTAAACAAATATTTTACGACTCTGGTCTCAAATAGCACGTCATGTGTGGACAAACGCTCTCTTTTGCAATATATGGGCCCATCAAATATGAAATCTGCGTTCTTAGAACCAGTAACGGAACAGGAAGTACATTCAACTTTTATAGGCCTCAAGAATAGTAAAGCGCGCGATATTGATGACATTCAAATTGGCCCAATTAAACACGTACTTGTCCTTCTGGTGCCTCCACTTACCTCTCTGTTCAACTTGTGTCTAGCCACAGGAGTCTTCCCCGAGAAAATGCAGCACGCTAAAGTTAGGGTGTTGTACAAATCGGAAAATAAGAATGACTTCTCAAATTACCGTCCCATCGCAATATTGCCTGTTATTTCTAAAGGACTAGAAAAGGTTATCTATAAGCGAATTATATCTTTCTGCGATAAGCATTCTTTGATTGCGTCAGAACAATTCGGTTTTCGTCAAGGTTTACACGCTTTGCTAGCACAAAAAGAAATCATCTTAAAGGCATTTGAGGAAAAGAAGGTAACACTGGGTATTTATATTGATTTTTCTAAGGCGTTTGACAGAATACACCACCAAACTGTGTTTACTAAACTAGAACATTATGGTTTCCGGGGTGTAGCCCTAAATCTCATCAAATCTTATCTAGGGAATAGAAAGCAATGTGTAAGCATTAAAGATAAAAGTTCTTCGCTATTAGACATAAACACCGGTGTTCCGCAGGGAAGTGTGTTAGGCCCCGTGTTATTTAACATCTACGTAAACGACATAGTAAGAGTTAGCGAGAACGTCAAATTTTCAGTTTACGCCGCGATGACACAAGCTTGTTCCTCCAATCCGACGACGTATCTAATCTTAGTATACTAGCTCACGACGCGCTAGAAAAGCTACAAAAATGGAGTGAAGTGAATTCTCTTGTTATCAATGCTGCTAAAACAAAGGCTGTTCTATTCAAACCAACTAATAAAAAAATATATTCTAGCTTAAACTTACACCTCGGTGACAAAGAGATTGGGATTGTACAAGACGTTAAAATATTGGAGGTCACTTTCAGTGGAGACTTAAACTGGGATTCGCATGTGTATGATGTTGCCAAAAAGCTTGCCAAGGCATGTGGAGTGCTTTCGAAATTCCGAGATATAGTTTCTCCAAAAGTTAAACTCCTCATTTATAATGCTTTATTTCACTCGCACATCGATTGCTGTACCCTCGTCTGGGGAAACACCACGCAAAAGAACAACTTAAAAGTGATCAGGGTACAGAAGAAAGCAATACGACATATTGCAGGTGTTCCATACTACGCTCATACATCAACATTATTTACAACTTATAACGTGCTCCAAGTAGAAAAACTGTACAATTTCAATCTCTTTGCTAAATTCAAACATGGTTTGAAAAGTAAAACCAATTTTCTAACACTGTGTCAGATCAAAGAGTCCCCCGCAACACTTACAACATAAGGAA